CGCTGATTCATGCCCTGGATACGTATCTTATTTCTAGACAACTAAGAACAGCTAAATGTAAAAATTAATAGTGAGAGAAATCTAATTCTACCTAAGAAATATACAACAGAAACACCATACAAGTGAAGTAGGTCAGACGCTCGTCGGCCCACGTGTAAAAATATCATTAAAATACTTTTATATTGTGATTTTCCTTTTTTTTACTTTCGCGTATACTACTACGTAGTATAAAGAAAGTATTGTAATGCTGTAGAAAAATTAGCAATTTTCCAACACAACCCGTTTTGGGTGCCCCTAATTGTAGAAAATGTCTAAATGTACTAAATGCCTATGTACTAAATGTGTTTCTGGTATACGTTGTGTAGTCAGAATCCACATTTTCTGGGTTCATGATTTCTAAAAAATTGGGTTTCAATAAAACGTCTCTCAGACTATGTGAACATCATAGCGCGAAAACCGAACATCGGATTTTCAACAAAGTTGACATTCACTTATCGATATGGACTGAATTCGCCTTAAATTTTAAACAGATATTTTAATTTTGATGGCTTAGTATGTATGAAACAACCACAACATTTTCGAAATTTTATCAAAGATTGCTTCTAATATTTCTTCATTTTTTACTCAATAATGGCAAATTATGCTTATAAAATGGCGCAGGATCGACGTACGAAGAAAATTTGTTTTCTCAAATGTAAAAGAAAATCATTTAAATCAATACTTTCACTCTAAGTCATATAATGTAAGCTCAGAGGGTTAAGACGCAGTCTGAGGAACTAAATACCTAAATTTGCCTCCCACCCCTGCAAAATACTTTTGCGGATTTCAATACTGATAATATAATAGCTATGGCTTTCAATAAATATTAATATTTAATACTTACCTAATTTTAATACTATATTTACTAATATAGTAATTAACTAATATACTATTTTATATTTACTAATATTTTAAAATGTTTGGAAATTGCCATCCATTGAATAAGCCAGCAGTACTTTATCACCCTTTTATCTTATTTTGTCTTCTTTGAATTCCGCTTTCAGTTTCTGAATATATCTCGTAATATTTGACTGATCATTCACGCAAAACGAAGTTAACATACATCGAAAAGAAAAATTGCAGTAAAAATACATATTTTAATGAGATAATACATTGTTTACAACACGTAGATGTAAATCGCACCTTTTTGACTTCGTTACCTGCCAGCCGCTGTGAGTTTCTGCTGAAAGAGAAACGTCATGTTCGTGACTCGACGCGAGTCGGACAAGGATCCCACAGTATGCTTCAATTCTTCCACTGGCCACTCCGTAGCAAGAGGGATAAGCAATTTCCTTGGCCTCATGCTCCATACATTATTTGGAATTTTCCTGAGGAATTTCCACAACATTTCTCCGTCTTAGCGAAAAGCTGAGAGACGTCAGGCAGTGAGAGATTACCTGTTGTGCTTATTAAAAATTTAAATATTAGAAAAATAAATATCAATATTTAGTTTTAAGGCAAAACTCTGGATTATGGAGTACAGAGTTATTTACAGTTGCCTTCAGAGAAACCTCTTTAAAATCTCATTTGATCCATAAAATAAATCAAAGATATACAAAAAAAACTTAGAAGTAGATCTGACAATAATTTGTATTTTTTATTAAGAATACATTATTATTATTATTATTATTATTATTATTATTATTATTATTATTAAGTACGTATTATGTGAAATAGTTATGACCAGAAAATAAGTTCCCTTTATTTTATATTAGAAAATAACGTCAACTATGCCATGCAAAGAAACATAAGGGCTTACTTCTTCTTTGTAAGTAAAGTTATCACGTTCGTAAATGTACTGAATTTTAAACCGTTCGACAATTTGCACCGAAGTTGTTTTTGCTTCCATCTTATTGGTCACTATTGTATACCCAGTGAAAGAGAGTGAGAAAGAGAAAGAGAGAGAGAGTCGCAAGAAATTGCAGAACAAAGGGAGTCCCTAGCAGGGAATGGAAAGCAATGAGGAAGTGCATCTGAGCAATTACTCAAATGAATAACCTGACAAAGCGCTTGGTTCAAAGCGGAACAAGGTGTAAAATTCACTGACCTCATAACTGAGTGCGAGTACAATGCAAAGAACGCAGTACAAGGAAACGAGTTGACAGCAATTGTATATGCGCAGAAATTAGGAAGCAAGAAATATGCAAATTAACCAAAATTGTTACTTTCTCGTATATGTAGTGTAGAAAAAGGTACGTAATGCTACAAAAAGTCCATTAGAAGACTTCCACAGACTCACACGTTTTGGGAGAAACCCAAAAAGTGTTGTTTTGAAACGTGTCAGACTGTCCGTCCTTCTATTCTTCTGCCCATCTGTGGATTTTTAAAATTCAAATCCGATCTCAGCGTCTGGAGGTCAAGTGGTTTACCAGCGTGTCTGTTCTCCAAAAGACACCAACTCGGAAGGTTAGTGTCTCGCCCCTAGTACCTATTTATCGTTGTGGATAGAAGCTCAATTAGCGAGGTCTGTTGCGGTCTCCGCACCTAGACAGCAGCACCAGTCCAATCTGGTGATCTTGTAGAGATGCCGTAACACTCCCAGGTAATAACACTCCCGGGCTTTCATACGCCTCGCAATAATATGGAAGACGAAAAACCGCTTATGTACTAGACATGGAAGATGCGCGGCTTCCTTTTCCAAATGGGGCGTGGTGCCGACTCTAGACTGTGCGTGTTTGCCGCCCAGACCGTGCGTCACTTAGTGGAGTGTTGTGAACTAACAGCCTATCTCAGAAATCCGGGGAATTTTTTATGTCTGATTCCGACAGCGGTTAAATGGATTCAGAAACTGACCTTTTCTCTATAGGGACTAACCTTATATTGCACTGTTTTATTGTTGTGAGGTCACATTGTGATGCATAGTTTTGTATTGACATTCGTAGATTTTGGATTGAATTTGTTGAATTCTGGGTCGAGTGCGCTTTCCATAAGATAAATAAAACCAATCTCAAGTAATAAAGCCAACAAGCGAGTTTTCAGTACTTACAACCGAGATTTGCTATGACAATAGAGGCATTTTTAAATGAAGGATGTTTCTGTTACTTTACTTCTCTTCGTCCTATTACGTCATCTTTTCTTCACAGGGCCAGCGGGACTGGCAGCTGGTCTGACCAGTTTGACACATTGACTCTCTCAACTTTGGTTTCTGAGCATGCGCCTCACGTAGAAATATGCTTAATTTGTGTGTATTCCCGGCCCATAGTACAGATCTTTGTCTTTCAGGCGAAATGAATTATGAAAAGAAATTAAGGAAAAATGAAGGCGAAATGAATTATTAAAAGGAATTAAGGAAAAATGAATATTTCTTGCTAAATGTACAAACAATATTATATGCCAATCTACTTATCAAAAATATAGCTAGTTTCAATATGCAACATTGTAACTCTCGCGTCATCGCACAAATCAAAATCGTGTTATACTAAACGACAAAGACAAATCAACACACGTTCATTGACGAATCATCAGAGTAAACGGACCGACATTTATGCCTCAAAAGTGTTGATAAAAAGTAACGAGTCGTGAACTATTTGACGTTCATCAACCTGTCTTGACGGTCGTCAAACTTTGGTGACCACCCATTCATAGAGTAAACATGTTGGACTAATGGAAGAAAAATAGGTATACGTAGGATGAATTACACATTTAAAAATATTGTTGATATCTGGGTTTAGTTGAAATTTGAATCAATTCTTTCTTATCATCGTACACTTATCGCATAATTAATAACACAAGTGATATAACATTCTAGGTGACATTGGAGGGAATTTTAACCTGCCTTATCACAAGATGTGGACCTTCGCACCATAGTATTTGCACATTGACCAGGTCTGAACCCCCGCATTGAACTTGAAGCTTAAGAAGTTCAGTAGTTATTTCACTAACAGTACAGACAAAAACTTTTAACCACGTTCCAAATTGTTATTTTTACTCGAGAGCTGGTATTTCTTGATATCAAAACCTGCCAAAACCTCCCATTGCAATGCTTATTCACAATTTAACTAGGTACATTATGACCCAGATTAATACTGCAGACTTGTAAGGCAGTTACAAAGTTGAAGTTACAAGTGAGACATTTACTCATCATTGACTAGCAGCTCATCTTCCTCCGGCGGTGGAGAGATACACGCAATCTCTATGCTAAACATCAGTGAACGATAAGTTGCCTATCAATCAGGGGCAAATGTCACACGTGAAACTCGTTATATAAGATTTCCCACCACACGTTCATTGAAAAAAATTGATTATATTAGACATCACCATATGCCCTAGAAAATTGTAACATTTTTTTCAGAGACACTCAGTATGGTTTCAATGGTAGAAATTACTAAGCTAATGAGAACGTGCTTAGATTGTGTTTCCCCTCATACGTCATATACGTGAATGTAAAATATTTGAATTATTTATTTATTTATTTATTTATTTACGTCAAAAACAGTTAAAAACAGTGTGTATTACGTGCTATGGGGAGAAGTTAATTTGTAGTTACATTTATATTCAGAAGCAAAACGAGGGGCCATCTCAGCATTTGCTCGAGGATCAGGGAAACTGGACGAAAACCTGGCCGAGATGGGTGTCATTGACCCAGAAGCTGAAGTACAATACTTGTTACGGGTTCTTTACAATTATACAATCCAAATGGTATAAAATACATTAAATGTCATTATTAAAATTAATTTTACTTTCCTTTTGGATCCTCTGTGTAGTTTCTAATTGTATAGAAACAGTTGTGCAGCAGAAAAGATTTTACTTGGGACTTAAACTTTTGTATCGAATTGAATCGTTTAATGTCATCTGGTAAGGTGTTGTAAAATAATGTACATGTATTATATATGAATTTTTTGATTAATGTATAATGTTTATATACATGTATATATATATAAACAGGTGGAAGTGCTAATTCGAAGGAAGTCCAAGCACTTTGCAGAAAGTACACTCGGCTAACGCTCTTAATTGTTTTGCAGATGAAGAACGCGATCGCGGACGAAAACATGCTGTGGCCCTACGCTAACATCATCTACAAGACCGAAGACAGCGTCGGTGAGTGCGAAATAATTTAACAGTCCCCCTCTTTTGAGCGGACTTCAATACACATTCTAGAGAATAATTATCAATGGGATATTCTCTCTACCGTCCTTGTTCAGGCAATCTATTGAGAGTAAATACGTTCCACCACTTTTCAATTATTTCTTAAAGAATTCTTTTCAATACGAGCGGACCAAGCTCTTACATTAATGTTTATTATCTTATCAATGGTGTGTCTTCATCTCTCTGAGTCATGATCCAAACGGTTGGCTAAAAAGAAATCAAGTAGCACATAACTTATATTTGACTTTTTGGAAACATTTAATTTATTTTCAGTTACATTATTATTTCGTAACATATAGATGTAGACCATTCATCTATCATGCCATAATCCCCAAGGGAAAACGTGAATACTTTCTACAAAATTCTAACCCACAATCCGTGCAGAAAACTGTTGCCGCCGAGGCCTTTTGAGACTTTTAGATCAGTAACAATCCATGGGCCTCTGTATTCCATCTTACAAAGGTAGACCGCAGTGTCTCACGGGCAGAAGAAGTCTTGTATGTCTCACAACTTGCATGAAGAAAAGCAAGAGTACTTTAACTTTCATTAACCACAATCATGCATAAATTTCGACTTCAAAATACAAAGTGTCTACCTGACTTTATTCAAAATTTACCATAAGTTCATTGTAAAGAACTTTAGAGTTTGCACAATATCAGACTTTTTCATTAACGGTAGATTCGGCTAGACACTTTTTCTGAAATTAAATTAATAATTTGTATAGATTTTTATTGACATAACCTGAAATAGTCATTCATGCGTACGTAGAACTTGTGCCCCGCACCATGGCTTTTCCACAGAATCTATTCTGAAAAATGGCATCTTCCTCAAACGTGTAAAATAACTAGAGTAGTACCCTAACAAACGAGTAACAGACCGTGCGAAATCTTCCCATCCTCTTCCTTGCTCCATCCTCTCCCATTCACACATACACACACTTACACTTACATCCACTACACAACCACACATGTCGGGAGACCAGTCGGGAGCTTAGAGCTTGTCTTGGCTACGGAGGTGCCCCGCTGGTGGGAGATACTTGGTTCGGGAAAACCCCGCTAGCTGACGTGCAGGTCGGCGCCGGATCTCACCATTCAGCGAGTTGCCTCCCCCTCCCACGATAAATAACATGCATTACACTTACGGGAATAATGCCCTTATTAGTTGGCGCGCCCGGAAACACGAATCAACCATTATTTAATTGGCTGTCCGAGTGACGCCGCGTCCAATTCAATACTGACTCCGACCGCGGAAGCCTACGCTCTCACTAATCAATCAACCAATCAAATCGTTGAGCAAGCGCTGAGTGTCTAAGGTTTCGCTGGCGTGTGTCCAGGCTGCCCGGAGTCACCGCAGTGCGAGATCCTCATGAAGGCCATGGAGCACTACCACCAGAAGTCCTGCGTTCGCTTCAAGGAGTGGACCGGCGAGCGCGACTACGTCAAGATCTTCTTCAACCCCGACAGGTCAGCCAACGCAACATTTCTCATTGCACTCGTGTGGGAACGTACAGCCCTTTCGGTTCTAATTGGGCTTATAAGACTCAGGTACTGACTTCTTCTTTGGTCCTTTGGTCCATATACGAAAGTTAGGTAACCCATAACGGGTTTTCTTGGGATAAATTACTCGGGGTGGTTTCCCGTTGCCTTCCCCGGTGATGATGATGATGATGATGATAGGGGAGTGAAAGGACGAACACAATACAACCATGCCTGAGGCGGGACTCGAACCCGCGATCCTTCGGTCCGAGATCGCTACGGCACTACTGCCTCAGCGTTCTCGGCCACCGGATCGGCTGGTACTGACTAGAGGGACCTAATAGACTGAAAAAAGCTTCCACAAGTTGTCATAATAGTGTTTTAAATCTATTGTTAAGATCCTTGAAGCTGACTGTTCTGTGAAACGAGTATAAGTTGCGGGTGCTTGTATATATGCTTGCACAGACGTGTTGTTTTCAACACGACGCATGCGACTCTATTTATAGCCTGTTGGGATGTACATATTCCACAGTCAATGTTGGAAAATAGTTTGAAAAAAAATTAAGTGCTCAATTAATATCTAAAATTAAGTTTGTGAATTAAATATTTGTTTAAATAAAAAAAAATTGTACTGAAAAGGTTAATGTGACTATTCCATTTCGGGAAGCGATTCAGCCGATAATGATTAATGATTTCCTGTGATTCAACCCACCTGTGACTAATTTCTTCATGTTTTATCGTGAGAGCTTTTCATATTTAATTGAATCGTCTGAACTTTCTCTAGTGTGCTCTTTATTTGAGGGTTTTTCAATTTTTAATACATTATAATTTAAAAAACCTTCAAAGCGTATATTATCGAGATAAAATTTCTGGTTTATATTCAAAGAATAGTCTGTTTAAATACCACTCGCGCTTTTTTTTATTTGAGAGCCCTGAGGATGCTTAATGAACCAATAAATCAGAATGAAACGGCAAAATAAAAAGTTCTAAGTAGGTGGGGGACTTGCGATATAATAAATGCAAGCATCCTCGCTATTCGTAGTAATTACTATTGTTTTGCACCATCGCTGTGCTTACGAAAGCCCGCTTTACATAGTCCTTTCCTCGTCTGTATTGAAAATTGACGGATCTAACTGTTCCCAAACATGAAGCATACCTCATTTTTCCGTACCAATTTGACTACCGCGCTCCGGGCGACACTTATCAAAACTCTTTTGGAGTTGCTGTTTGTGTGTTGTGCGGTTTCTTCCTCTTATACAGTTTCGAGACCGTTCGAGTCGGTTGAATTGTGATGTAAAGTGATTAGAGTGGTGAGAAGTAAAATCAGCGATAGTTCCTTACTTCCTTCATATCCTTGCTGAATTCCGAGTGCAGGAGAATTGAGGTTGTGTTCTAATGACGTCTCGTTCCGTGCGTAGTAACTTCATTTTTGATTGATTCCATTGTTCGCCTGTTGAGAAGCGATGCTGATGATTTTATATAATATTGCATTGTTATTTCAACATCACGCAACCAAACAGAGGAACGATAAGTCAGTCTTAACGGCCGGCGTCCGTTAATGATTTTAACAATCCACCGTCCGTTAAAAACAGTCGAAACAAGTTATAGCTAAAGGAGGCAGTATGACTACTCCTACACCACGCAACCAAACAGAGGAACGATAAGTCAGTCTTAACAGCCGGCGTAAATGGTATTTCTCATATCAGACGAAGGTATTTCGAAAAGCACCAATCCCAATTAACGGCCTCGTTCGCCCGGCAGCGGGGCGTGCTGGTCGCCGGTGGGGCGCACGGGCGAGGGCGAGCAGCTGCTGTCGCTGGGGCAGCGCTGCTGGTACCTGGGCATCGTGGTGCACGAGCTGGGCCACGCCGTGGGCTTCTGGCACGAGATGAACCGGCCCGACCGCGACGCCTGGATCCGCGTCTTCTGGAGGAACATCCTGCCGGGCTTCGAGACCGCCTTCGCCATGCACGACGCCGCCTCCGTCAACACGCTGGGCGAGCGCTTCGACTACCGCTCCATCATGATGTACGACGAGTACGCCTTCTCCAAGGTAACGTTTTGAATTGAATTGAATTGAATTGAATTGAATTTGCCTTATTTTACGTGGCGAGACTCGGGCCATCATGCCCGATCTTCCGTCTGACCACGCAAATTTCGCTACGCTCCTTTCATCAACTAGCAGAAAAAGGAGGTATTTCTTGGGCGAGAAACAGGCGATTTTGAATTTAGCTCAGAGGCGTCATTTAGGCTTGAGGATCTTTTACGTGCAAGTAAATCTACTAACATGGGACAGCCGGCTTTACTTCCCCTTCGAAGGAAGGCGTACGAAGGATTTTGATTGATCGGGTTTGAACTCGCGATCGGGTTTGAACCCGCGAGCTGGGGTACAACAGTCCGGTACGCTAACCGTTACACCATCGCCGCCGCTTTCGGGATTTTTCGGGAGCACATTCATGCTGGACGTTTTCGGGAGCACATTCATGCTGAAGGCGGGCTGCCTGAAAAATGCCAGTTCGAGTGCGCTTGTACTGGCGCTCTTAGCTCGTAGGTCAGGAACGTTCCCGGTCAGGACCGCGCGGGCTAAGAATCCCCGTTGTTTAATAATAATAATATAATTAATTAATAATAATATAATCATAATAATAATAATAATGTTTTTATTAATGGCGAGGCTCAGCGCAAGGACCCTGCTCTTCCGCCTACACCACAAGTGATCAAAGGGTCTCCTATTGTTATCATTCTAGCTTCGTTTCTCTTTTTGTCACCTATTTGTTTGGTTTGTAGGATTGGTACGAGTATATCACGCTTTTCTGGGCTGCCAAAGTGATTTACAATTATCACTGTATTAGCTTCGTTTCGCTGAAAGATTTCGTTCTCAGAGTCCGAGGTAGGGACCGGTTGCCCTAAGGCACCGAAGACCAAGCCTCCACTCTCGCGATTCTATGGGGACATGCTTTAGGAGATGTCACTGTTTATTAAACTATAATCATTCATCATTCATTTTTAGTTGTTAAAGTATAAGATATAATACTCACATACCACGGTCATTGCTGTTTAAGAGAAATGTACGTTCATGTCAACAAGTAGTTTTAGGACTTGCGGGTGATTAGTTATTTGAACTAGCGTTTTGAGCGAGAGGGCAGGCAAACTTCGCCACCGTTTCTTAATATTTTCAGATCTGCTCACCTTTGAAACGGCCTTGAAATGTCGATTGGGAACCAGTTCCAACGTGCGTTCCACTCGCCGTTGAGACTTGGCTCTTCCCACAGTCCTGGCGGCGTCGGGTCGTAACTCAGTTGTGTTACTCTAATCCAAAGTGCGCTATGCGATCGCTGAAAAAACGAAGATTGTATTTTATTACAAATATTAATTTTATAAAATTACATTACCAAAAATCCTTCGGAAAATTTATTACTTGTACGAAAATTTGGCCCGATTACCAATTCAAAAAGTCGTAATCCTATAACCTTAATCGACACGTATCGCTGCGTCGCTTGTGCGTCACTGTCGTCATTCACGGTATAGGACCCTTCCGGGTCCACCACTCAAAATGGGCTGGCTTCGTTCTGGTTAGCGTATCGGACTGTTACACCCAACGTTCGCGGCTTCAAACTCGATCGAATTCTATGGATTCTTAAGGGCGAAAAAATCTTCGTACGCACGTGCTGTTCGGATGGAAAGTAAAGACGGATGTTCCACGTTGGTAGATTTACGGCATGTAAATATTCATCTAGCCTAAAAGAAGCTTCTAGAGAAAAATCGCCAGTTCGTCACCAATTGATACCTTTTTTCTGCTAAGCGGTGAAAGAAATGTTGCGGAATTTGCGTGCGCTTCAGGCAGAAGAGCAGGCTGATGGCCTGAGCCTCAGCCGGAAAATTAAGGCAATTAATTGAACTTGAATCAAGACGATGTTTGTGTGTGTTCGTTATTACGACGAGTCTCTGCTCTTCTTGGCGGGGAAATGATGTTTCTCTATTTCTCTCTCTTGTTTTTCTAATTTTAAAATATTTTTAAGAACATAAAATTCTGTTTTGGTTGCTCTTATGGCACCGCGGGAACCTCATTACGAATTTCCTCTCGGACAAGAAAATTTAATTGCGCATAATTGTTAGTGTTTCTGATGGTTTCACCCACGAGAACTGTTTGTAAAAAGTTAGGAATTATTATACTTCTCCGGCATCACCAATTGAATTGTTACATCTTTATTCCAAACTGACTCTTACAATAATTTAGCTTAAACTTTTAATGAATTATCGAAAACATTTGAAGTGGGGTCTTAAGCACAAAAAAATAATTTTGGACGTTAAACAACATACAGAGGTGATCACGGTTCGATTGCTCTCGAAGAACGAACAAGATAGAAGAAGGATAAATATTTAACCTAAGTTTTTTGTGTTTTCTGAGAGTGTTTAAGATTATTATTTTTCTGTAGTTTTAAAGTGGTTACTGTGTGCTGTGTTTTTACGGAAATTAACTTGCTGTTTAGGCAAAATATTTCAGCGGCTGTTGTATTTCATGGAAAGCACCACGTATAATGAATTAAAACCAAAAACAAATGTTTATAAATATGAAAGTGAAATATTTTGTATGAAATTTATATTAGTCCTAAATGTTTGCAATTTAAAATGCATGGATACAAACTTATTTTATCGTTAGAAAAAAATAAAACCGTCCGTCGATTCTAGAAAACAATGTCAAGGGGTTGTACCCATTTACAAATATGATGTCTGGATAATCTCCACCTCTATGTTACCAAATTAATACCCGGGACAGTCAAAGTTTTTGTTCTGGATTCTTTACCACAATCTCAACGTACTCTCAACACGTTATAGAAATGACCTTTTTCGACCGCAATTACAGCCATCGCCAGTACGAACGTGTGGCGACTGGTAGAAATAACCATTGGTTTTATATGCAACACCAAACACGTACAAATGACAACACCTATAGCTGTACGATTACAAATATGCGTCAATAAGACCTCTTGGCTCACACCACTTTCTACTACCGCTGGTAATTCCTTGATTTTTGTGCTAATAAGCAAAGTCCATGGTCGATAGGGTGTCTAAAGCAAGAAAAGCGCACTATGTGAGGGATTAGGGTAGCAAAATTTATCTTTAAATAGAACCGGGCATTAAAAATAAAAAAAATAATTATGCGGAATTTATAAAATTGTAATATCTGAATGTAAACAATGACACCGTTTTTAAAATATATTTTAAAGATTATTTCGACGTACAAATTATATTTGCTTTCACGCTACTACTTACGATTATAGAGAAAGTTATATAATTGCTGCAGGGTTAAAAACGGCGAATTTTCGACACAAAACTCTAATTTGCCCAGGGTACCGGTTTGTTTACGCGTACTACTCCCGGCATTTGCTTTGTGCTGATCGCGAGAAACCACGGAAAACTTACCGATTCATTAGCAGCCGCCGTCAGGAATTCTCCAGACGCGACTGGTATTCGGAACCTAAAAGAAATCGAACTGTGTCGAAATTTTCTACTAGGATTTCACGAGGCCCTGCAGTGACATTCATTGATGCCCTGAGCCACCTTCCGGTAAATTATGTTTTTATGATTTGTAATGTTTTTTTATTTACAAAAAAAACGAAATGACTGAGATGGGTTAATTCAACAGAAATTGATGTATAGATAAGTTATTACGTAACCACTACTAAGGCGAGGAAAGTAGTTGCTTTTTTTATGAGCACTAGTTCTAGGAGATAACGTATAGTACATGTGATTGGCGTTGGGTTGGGCGTGGTGAGGTCACCTGCAGGACCAGGTCCTGCTCGGAGCGCAGCAGGTGCCAGAAGCGCACGCAGCACGAACGAGGCCTCGGGCGACGCGTTTGAAGTTCGGAGAGGAAGTAGCCGGGCGTGACTGCCCGCTCCTTCTCGCACGTGCTGTTACACGAAACCCGTCTGCGCAAAGGGACGGTTCCACGTCAAGCTGAGATCGTAGGTTCCGCGGCCGGAGTCAGTATTTACTAGGCTGTCCGAGGTTTGACGCCGCGTATCCATGGCAAGGTTGCCGACCGTATATTCGGTCGGGACATTCTGCGACTTCCTTCATCCTCGCATTACGCCCTGAGGCAAGGTCGCCAGAATGGCGACGCGAAACGTCAGCACCCTTCGCATGACGACGGCGTCACCCGGACAGCCCTGTAAAATTTACTGTTCCACGTTCAAGTTATTAAGAATTTACGGAGGCAATAATCGCAGTTGTGAGAAACAAACGTGTGGATGCTGATTAATCCTGAAAGCACCAAGGGAATGGAACCAAAAATCCGTGCAAGATTGAGCCATAATAATGTTTACAACAACACTAAGTGACAAAAGTTCAATGGGGATACCTCCTCTATCGTGTCCTTTTTGCCGGAGAAGTGATTGATGGTGTTGGAGCGTAAACAAGTTTTTGGGAGCCCAGCAGAAAATATTCAGACCTATTGCCCTCTACAGCACGCTTCATTTATTGCGCAAGTGTTGCCAAAACAGGATTTTGTGCCCGCTAGTGAACATCCTCGATCTTGTCCCAAAAGGTTTGATGGGTTTAATGTACGGAACTATCTGGTGTGCCAATTCGTTCCACTCGAATTGTCCAGCATATGTTTGTCTTCACACCAATCTTCTGGCATCAATAGTCAAATTCCCCGCACCCTCAAAACAGATACGTTCGTCGTAAGTCCGACATTGATTTCTGCAGTTATTTCACTCAGGCTTCTTTGTTTGTTAGCACTTACAACACTTAAGCAACCGATGCTGCTCTCGGTCATTAGAGAATTGCGTCGTCCACTGCATTGTCCGTCTGATGGGACAGTTTATGCTTGAAATTAGATATTCTTCAGGGCATACTTTTTTCGGACACCGTTGGATCTCCCTCAAATATGAATTTGCCCTAACGATTTCATAATTAGAGTGTCCCCTTGCGTCTAGCACCAAATTACCATTCTACGTTCAAAAGTCGTTTTAGTCCCGCCGTGCGGCCACTATCACGTTCAGGAAACATTCTCACATTAATTGC